AGACCACACTGCCCACAGCAGGGGCCCCAGTAATGTCCTGACAGGCGGGTGGCTGGGGAGAGCCAAGTGGGGCGGAGGCTGCAGAGAGCCACGGAGGGGCGGGGCCACGGGAGCCAGTCTCCTGGGGATCTGAGGAGAAAGCTGGAATGACAGGATCCCAGGCGGCAAAGAAGGAAGAGGAAGCTTCAGCGAAGCAGCTGGCCAGGAGCCTTGGCTCGGGGTCCGCAGGTGCGTGGACAGGCCTCTGTCTAAGGGTCAGCTCCCCGGAGAGTGCCGCAGCTTCGGGGAAGGGGCTGGCCAGGAGATTGGTGGCCGAAGGGGCGCAGAGCGGTGCAGAGGCAGGGGGTACTTATCTTTCTCTGACTGGCTTATTTCACTTAGCATAATACTCTTTACTTAGCTAGTCAAAAATTAGTTTAGTAAATGCACTGTTATTTACTATCAACTCATTTGTATTACTTTTAGAGTTATATTTTCTAACTATATTGATATATTTTAAAAAATATGATTATTAGTTATTTAGAATTCTAAACTGTAATTAAATAACAATGTAAATTATTGTGTAGTATCTTTGTGTTCCTTCTCTCAGGAGTCAACACCAAGAGCCTACTTTAGCCATACAGCCTCTCGATCCGATGTTCTTGTGAGCTCTTCCATGGAGATATTCAGGATTTAGTAGTGTAATCCAATAAAATGGAAAAATCTATTTGTCACTTGTACTGATTGGTACATTCAACTTTATGGGGTAGAAGTGGCTGAAAAACTCATTCACAAAATTGACCTTTTCATCACTAAGAGGTGGGAAGATTTAGTTAAAGAAATATGTTCAGTTGAAACCACTTTGGCTCAGTGGATAGAGCGTCAGCCTGAGGACTGAAATGCCCCAGGTTTGATTCCGGTCAAGGGCATGTACCTTGGTTGCGGGCACATTCCCAGTAGGGGATGTGCAGGAGGTAGCGGATCCATGTTTTTCTCTCATCGATGTTTCTAATCTCTCTCCCTTCCTCTCATAAAAAAATATATATATGTGTGGAGATATATATATATATATATATATATATATATATATATATATATAATTAAAAAAAAAAGAAATATGTTCAGTGTTTGGGGATGGGAGTGTGTGTTTTCAAGTTCTTGGGAGGATGGTGGAGGCTGGGGAGGAGTGTGTATCTGAAATCGGACTTCACAATCCTCAGGCTTCCTCTAAGGCAAATTTAATCCAATTGACTCTTGAAGGAATTAAGGTGAGTCCGTTGTGGGACTCCACTTCTACAGGGAGGAAATTAGAAAGCAGACTTGTTGTTTTATGGCTGCAAACAGCTATTCATGCAGAGTAATACCAGCAAAGGAGAAAGACATTATAGGTCTCTTCTTAGACGTGGACACACACCATTTTAGTTTGGGAGTGTCTGAAAAGAAACACATATTTAAATTAGGCCCAGGCGATCAGGCTAGAAGTGTGGCTTCTGGGCTAGAAAGGAATGTGCATGTGGCCAAGGTGAGAGTGCAGGCTTCCCCTAAAGGTGTTCAGGTGCAAATAATGAAATACATGTCACTGTGCATGTCACATACTAGACAGCCCATTGGCTGCCAGATTCCCCCTCCAATCTATAGGGTCAAAATACTAAGCCCCTTTCCACCAGGCCATGTCATAGCCAGGCACTCCCCTCAGGATTCTCTGATAGACAGTCATCTTAGGTTTCAAAGAGTAGGTGCTATTTTTAGTATTGACACCCTTCTACCACATTCAACTTCTGTGATACTCTGACATCGCCATCCACAAACATGACACCACACAATGTGATCCTGGGATGCATCCTCTTTAGTAATAGAAAGTGGTATGCTCTTGTGCTCTTTCCATTGGTAACCGCTTGTTTGAAAAAGTTGTTAAAGAAACACTAATGCCAAAAATGGAAGCTAGGGAAAGTTTTAAAAGAAGTAAATATAATATTTTCATCAAACTCAATGTATAAGATTCCTTTGAAAGGTAAATGTAGGGTGCACAGGCAGGCGAAACAGCCATCTCAGATGTTGGATAAAGAAAAGTTGAATTTAAGGAAAGGGGGTGGGGGACGGGATATCCAAAGGGAAGGACTGCACAGTACTGAGCCCAGGGATTGCTGGGTCGATAATGGCAGCAAAAATGTACTGAAGTCAGTGAAACAAGGAAGGGCATAGAAGAAGCAATAGGAGAGCCTAGGCTGGGCTGCTTTGATTCAGAGAAGTCAGAGAAAAGGGGGCTTTGGAAACAGGTTCAGGGGTTTAGCCCAGGATGAGCTGCCACTACCCATTGATCCCCTGGTTTCATGTCTCACGGGGTCCCTTAGAGATTGGGGATATGTGCCTGTGGGGGAATGGCACAGTGTGCTCCTTGTAGAGTGTGTGCCATGGGTCCTTTTCCTGACCATATTTCTCTCTCTCTTACAGGTGGTAATCTTAAGGGAGGTCTCACAGGAGGGAGGGTCTTAATAGAATATCCATCAGCTTTCCAGGGTCCAGGACTCCACTGATTGGTTGGTGTCAAGGCAGTGGGGGTCATTAGACAATGTGGCAGGTCCAGAGGCAGCCAGGGTGCCATTGGTCTGGTTTTGCTGCTTTTCTGGGCCAGGAGCTGAAATACAACTGAGGCCTAGATGTTATCTGTAGGGAGGAAAAGGTCAGGGGTCATAATCACCTGACCATAGATATGAAAGATTAGGGGTCCAAATTGCATGGCCAGTGATATGCTAGGGGAAAACAGGTTACCCTGGGGGCGAGATTCTTGTTTTCCAAGTTTGGCCCTTGCTAGGCATCCAGGGGTTTCTGTCCTGATGAGTTTCTGCACCTCCTCCATGCTCTGTTCATATCTAATGTTTTTGTTTCCTAATCTTTTTTTTAATTGATTTTTTACAGAAAGGAAGGGAGACAGATAGAGAGCTAGAAACGTTGATGAGAGAAACACTGACCAGCTGCCTCTTGCACACCTCCTACCGGGGATGTACCCGCAACCAAAGTACATGCCCTTGACCGGAATCGAACCTGGAACCTTTCAGTCCGCAGACCAACGCTCTACCACTGAGCCAAACCGGTTTCGGCTGTTTCCTAATCTTAAGGGACTAAAAGGAAGTTTTAGTTTTAGCAAAGCATACCATGGCATTATACATTTTTAGAGATTGTGAAAACTGCCATTGAGCATTTTATAAATGTAGCCAAAACATGACTCTACTTTCTCCTCTGGGTTCCCAGTCTCCTGTGGCAGCCATGTTTGATGGAAATAAAAGAAATCAATAAGACTGGTCTGTTTTAAAAATGTATTCTAAAATGTTTATCCTCTGGAAGTTCTGGGAAAGGAATGATCAGTTCAATTTCATGTGAAAACACCTGAGATTCTTAGGCTTACAACGTTCACAAACATCAATCCTATCCCAACAGCTAACTTGTAAAAATATAATTTTTTGTTAAAATGTAAGTAGCAGAGTTATCAAATTTTCTTTTCAGGAAAAAATAAAAATCATTATTTTGAAAAATTACCAGATAAGCATAAAATTTTTAACTTAGTAGAAGCCAAGAAGCAGTTATAGGGGTTAAGCCTCGGACTGACCTACTGGTAAAGTCACAAGCAAGTTAAGCTTGATTTTGTGACTGCTCCCTAGATCTTTCCTGGGTGGCTAATGGGCTGTGGGAGGGGAAGCAAGTGCTGCCAAAACAAGTGAAACTTACAAGAACATTGTAAATTACCTTGTTTGCCCCTGACTATAAATAAAGCATCAGCTTTGCAGTCTGGATCTGCTCTGTGGCCTCAGCAAGGCCAGAAGATCCACCTAGACCCAGCTTATTCCTTTGTCTGTCTTTTCTTTATCCTTCATCAACCATCCCTCAGGCTTGCTGAACCCTTGGCTGTGCTGGTGTGGCACAGAGTAAAAGAGATTTATAAAAGCATAATAGCAAAAAATCTTTATTGGGATTTTTTTTTAACAAAATAATTTTTAAAAACAAAAGCCTCCAGATGTAAACAAGAAAGTAAAGTTAGTTGGCATTATTATGTACATCCAAGAATCAAAACAGTTCTGGGTTAACATTCCATAACCCAGTAAAATCTTTTGACCCATTGATGCTCAGGGTAACTATATTTAACCTACTAACAATGGAACCCTTTTGTTGAACATTATAAAATGGATTTTAGATTATAAACTATATTATTTAGCTTCTCATTCTTTCCACCAATCCATATATGCCACATGTATACTAGTTCTAAAATGAATTATGTTGTCAATATTAGTCCAAAATGCCCATCATCCCAAATTAACCAGGTTACACCTACATAATTTCTTCCAGGGATTTTATGGTGGAATGTGCTAGAACCCATAATTACATCATTTTTCAAAAAACTAACCTAATTTTAAATTCTATCTCTATAATTTGATACTTAATTTCTTCTCACTTTCTATACATACTTTAAATACTAATGCAATTTTACTTTTAAAAATACTGCTAAGACATTATTAACACATATTTAGGCAGTAATTTCTGACAAAGTTGTAGTTTATTCACCAAGAAAAAAGTGCTAATGTTTATTTTAAAATTTAGCTAGAGCATTTTCGTAGTGTTACTTAATTGAGAATGATGGTTTTAATTTAGAGGGTTCAATATACATATTAATACAGTTCAAAATTAAACAGAGATTAAAGTATATGTCACATGGAAAAAATCTCCTCACTTCTTAGAAGACCAAAATACTCCATTCTATTGCTACAAAATATTATTAATTCAGTGTCTATTTTTGCTAACATATTCAATTCAATTTTATAAGCTTTACAAAAGACAGTTTTTGTAAGAGGTCTCAATTTTAGTTTTAAATGGATTCTTTTCTGTCAGTTAAAATAATTTAAAGATATGCACAATGTTTGTGCTGTTTAAGGCAGGTGCCAAGCACATTTTGAAAGATAATAAACTTATTAACTTGAATATCCTCCCGAAGAGGGAAAAAACAATAAAAGAAAAACTCAGGACAGCTTTCGTTTAAGACAGCTGTTTAAATAGCACTCTTCTTTCAGACCATTTAAAAATAATTTGGCAACTAAATTGCTTATGGTTATAACACATATCACTTATAAGACAAGCAACAGATATATAATTAATGACATACTTTAATATTTTTACAAGACTCTTTAAGTTGGTGCCTAGTGGCATTTAACAAGATTTTTTAATTTAGTGTAAAAGGATTTAGAACAAAAACTACACTAAGTAATGAATATAATTCTTCTATAACATGCAGAAAAGTCATCAACTTTTTATACATCATCACTCCTCAACAGTTCTAATTAAAATCCAAACTGTTCCCATTTTGTATCGTTGTCATTCTTTGGCAAAAGATTCAAAATAGCCATGGGTTAGGAAACAACTGTTCACTCATGGTCTTAATTTTTGCAAAATAAATGTGTTTTGTAAAAGGAATTGGCAATATGCCCGGTTTATAATTATGACTAAATAATTATAAATAAGCAAAGTATTACAGCCTATTTTGACTAGTCTACTCCTAAAGCTTTGAGTTGTCGTTCAATCTCTTCATCGGAGATGGTAGCCTTTGAAGTAGAGGCAGATGGTAAGCTTCGGGCAGCTGATGGAGCTTTGGCCATCTATATAAAGAGAGGAAAAGAAAAAAATGTGCTTCATCAAACATTTGGACTATGACATAAAGGACATGCTGCAAAGAGGTTTAATTTACTTTCCAAATGAATATAAAAACATGCATCTAATAGTAAAAGACAATGTAAAACAATTCAGTGACAAAAATAGTGGGAACTATTTCCAATTAAGAAAAGAAGACATTCATACCTTTCCAGAGATTTCAATTCCAATTTCATCCAGAACTTGATTCACAATATCTTGGCTTTCCTCTTCATCCTCAGAGCCATCAAAGATGTCATCAAGTGTATCATTGACTTGAAAGGATGGGAAGAAAAAAGCAATTACTTTTAGATTTCAGGCTACACTTACTTTTTAGAAGGCAGCCCAAATACACACACACACACACACACACACACACACACACTGTTATATTACAGGAGGACAAACTTAGGTGAACCAACAAATTACGAAAGTCACTTTCAAATGTGAAGTTCATTACTGAATACATTTGTGAGGCACTAAATCTGGAATAACGTTCTTATCAACACAAATTATCCTAAAATAAAACAAGTCTATTCTGATTTTTAAAAAATTCATCTGGTATTTCACAGGTACAGGATTAAAGTTTTTAAATAAGATTTCACAAATTTGAATCTGTTCAGCTGACCATGGAAGAATATGCAAGAATCCAATATCCTTTAAATATTTGGGATTCAATATACCTATAATTATATATTACTGTTTTAAAATTTTCATTCTAAGTGTATGCAGAATATTCTAACAAAGTGTAAGAGTTAATATTTTATTCAACTTGTCCAAAGAATGATATCCAATTTAACCCTGCAATGATTATTATTGCTTTATCCTCTTCCACCTTTCTCCCATCCCTTCCCAAAATATTTATGGAAAACCTCCTGTACAGAAGGCATTATGGGAAAGGAATTTCTGAAAGCCTGGGAATATGTCTCATTTATCTTTGAAACTAAGGGCCTGGAACGTGGTACAAATACAATTGATAGATAATGGAGAAAAATGAATGTCCTAGGTAGTATGCACTTAAGTAGAAAAGATAAAAAAAAGATAATGGTAAACAGAAAAACGAATGATTATAAAAAGGTAAGAGATTATATCCAATGGGGAGGCAGTTTCATGTGAGGTGGTCCTTGAAGGCTGCATAGGATTTGACCAAACAGAAGCAGAGGGAATACAATGAACAAAGACATGCAATAGGGATACATGCAGAACAGAGTAGGTTCTTTTGTTTGGTTACTTTAAGGTGCCTGAATGGAAAATGGTCAAGAGGGAAATAATTAAGCAGCTGGCCTATCCTCATTCTCCTGATCACTGGAGGATGTCCCCAAAGGAAAGGGGACAGAAACCTAGCCTGTTCTCCCGATAAGCATGCTGCTTCTGGTAAACAGACACCTGCTGGCAAGAGTCCTTGCTCTCTGCAGGGTGCCCTTGGTTCAGGATGGCTGTAGTAAACAAACCTATTATCCAGGGCAGTGGTGGGCAAACTCATTAGTCAGCAGAGCCAAATATCAATGATACAGCAATTGAAATTTCTTTTGAGGGCCAAATGTTTTAAACTTAAACTTCTTCTAACGCCACTTCTTCAAAATAGACTTGCCCAGGCCGTGGTATTTTGTGGAAGAGCCACACTCAAGGGGCCAAAGAGCCGCAGGTGGCTCGCGAGCCTCAGTTTGCCTACCACGGATCTAGGGGCTTATGGACCATGACTCTCTAGCAAATGTCACATACAGTAAGTGACCATGTGAGTTATAAATTCAAGATGTTTCATAACTTAAACGTTTCCTTCAACATAAGTATAGCTCATTACACACATCATCTATCATTCTGGGTCAGAATTTGTGTCTAATCAGAAAAGATATCAGGAGTTATTTGGGATGTCCCAGCCCTCTCACTGTTTTGCATGCACATTTTAATTGCTTGTATTCTTGACAGATTAATAAATCTTAATATTGTTTAAGATCTTTGATTTGTAGGAGCATGACTTGAGAATCTGACTTCTTGTGTTAGTTCAGAAGTATAAAATAAATTTGGAAAAGGCTAAAGAGTTTAAGGCATATATATTGAGTTTAATATTCAGTTTATTTGAATATTAAACTGAATAGCATTATATATATATATATATATATATATATATATAATGTTAAACTCAATTCTTCCATTTCATACCTATGTAACTCTTTACCTGTCTGGATCTCAGTATTCTCACTGGCAAAATAACAGGAATGAACTTGAAAATTGTTTTTGATTTATGATGTGGGGATTTTATTGTAATCAGCAAGAAACCACTCAGCTTATCTCTAGCTTCTATAAAAATAATTTAGCAGTTGTGATACTCAAATGATAGGGAAGTAATACAGGGTGAGGGGGGTGAGGAGTCCAGGTCAGAATTTATAAGGGCCTCAATGAAAAAGTAGCAGCAGAAAAGAAAAAAAGAAAGAAGGGGGAAGATGAGAAAGACCAGGGATTTTTAACCAGAGATTAACAGAGAAGAAGTATAACAAAATTAATCAAGGACCAAATAATTTATAATCATCTTTTTTACAAAAAAGATGTCCATTTAAATTTTAAATTTATCTTTGGATGAAAAAACTAATGTTGATATACTTTATTAGGTTATAGAAAAAAATAAATAACCACCAATAACTACTATCATTTCAGACTCACAAAGTACTAACATACAAATAAATACAACTGTAAAATATATGAATAGTAAGTATGAGTTATTAATTCCCTTCACTACAGTTGAATGGAAAAGTTAATTCCTCTAATAAGACCTGATCCCACCTGTGCCATTACTGAAACCCAAATAAGCATGTGAGATGTTGTGATCATTATATAAATGACAATTCTTACAGTCATTAAAAATTCACTAATGATGTTTCAAAAAATCATATTTTTCAAAATAAACATTCAAAGTAAGAACTAAAGAATTTTTTGAACTATCAAAAATATACACAAAGTATCATTAAAACCTAAAAGCAAAATAGATAATCTGAAATAGAATATTGGAACAACAGTGAGTTTAGTAACCTTGATAATTTATTTAGATACTATCAATATTTATACCCTAAATGTTGTAAAATTAAAATGCTAGCTAGCTAAACTGGCATATCCTTACATAGTTGTAAAATTACTAAAAAGCATCTTTGCAAAACAATGATGCCAGTGTTGACATATGTAAGTAATAACTCAGTGTTGACCAGGATGCGTAAAGGGTCACTCATTCATTACTGGTGAAATAGAGACTGGTATACTAGTAATCTTTCTGAGAAGAATTTGGTACGAACCAAAAGCCTTATAAAAGTTATTATTCTAAGGAGACTTAAGAAACTTACATAAAGATAAAACAAAGATTTATTAAAGGATTATCAAATATATTAAACATTTTAAAACATTCCTATCAGCCACTATAAGAATGATTCAATAAATTAGGGTTGACATTTAATATTGATGTTACCCAACATTAATGCCATTAAAAAAAAAAAGGCTTCAGAGAAGATTCAAGGTTATAAGCACATGTTGTTATACTATAATGTATTTAAAATGCTGGATAAGGTTCAAAATTACAAATGTAATATGATCTAATAACTATTATAAAATATGGAAAAGTATTGGAAAGAAATGTATAACATTAACAGTATTTATATCTGAGTGGTGTGAAGATAGATTTGGAGGTGATTAGAGAAAGAAGGTAAAGAGATTAGCCAAAGAACATATATGAAACCCTAGCTGAGTGGACAGAGCAACAGCCTTCGGACTGAAGGGTCCCAGGTTCGATTCAGGTCAAGGGATTCGGGTCAAGGATGTGTACCTGGGTCGCAGGCTCCTCCTTGACCTGGGTCCTGGTCAGGGCATGTGCAGGAGGCAACCAATCAATGTGTTTCTCTTACATTGATATTTCTATCTTTCCCTCTCTCTTCCATTCTCTCTAAAAATCAATGGAAAAATATCCTTGGGCAAGGATTAAAAAAAAAAAAAAAAAAAAAAAAGAAACAACAACAACATATATGCATACCCACAGACAAAGACAACAGTGAGGTGAAGTCCATGTGAAGGGGAGGCGGGGAGTGGGTGCATGTGGGCAAAGGATGGGGGAAAAGAAGGACACTTACAATAATGTTAACATTAAAAATTTTTAATTAAAAAAATATAAAGGATAGATTTTTAAAAAATGCTTTAATCCTTTGTAGTCTCTATAGTTCCACTATAATTTATAATTGGTTTATATTAAAAAAGAAGAAAATAAAATATTAAAAACTTTGGGAGGGAAAAATAAAAGAATGAAAAAGCTCCATTATCTCTACCTCTATTATATATAGTATGAAAGAATCAATGCATATCTGAAACTCCAATTTATATTAGAGTTATTTTATTTGCACTAATTTTATTTCCACTAATAAATAAAGTAAAGCAGCTGGGGCCAATATGGCATAGAAATATGGCATAACATAGTTTATATTTTTCCTTCAGTTAAACATTAATTGAACTTTGAGCCATATACATTGACATTTTAAAAAAATAATACTGTGACAATATGGTCACTTATTTAGTAGAAGGGTAATAAACCATTTCTTTTTTCAATATTTGTGCTTTCATGGATGAGAATATGAGATTGCTAGTAAACAGACTTAATTAATTCAAACATGAGAAAACTATAAGTTTCATTTCTAACTATTAAACTTACTCATTTCTTCAGTCATTTCCATTTTCATGTTTTCCTTCTGGAAATTCTGCATTGTCTGTAATGTCTTTTGTGGATCCACCTTCTTGTTTACTGCCTGCATAGTCTTTAAAATATGAAGAAGTCCAAGTCAACTACATAATCATGAAAATTTTACTGTGGATAAGTCCTAGAGAGCACATCAAGTAGACACAAGCTTTGACAAGATATACATTCTGCCATAATCAAACATAAAAATGTTAAGTATTCTAGAAAAAAATAAAATACTCAATTGGAAACCATCTGCTTAACATCTATATAATAAAGATTGGTGTGCAAAAGCTCATCTGAACAGTGGGCAAAATATTATGTAATAAAAATAATTGTCAATAAAAATTCATTACTATTCAGATAAGAGAACTACATTTGACTACTATATGGTAAGTGGGTAATATCCAAATTAAAAATAATTTTAATTTAATTTTTATAAATATTTAACTTAATATCTAAAGTAAAAAAGGATATGCTAGCACAGTGTTTTTCAACCTTTTTTGGGCAAAGGCACACTTGTTTCATGAAAAAAATCACGAGGCACACCACCATTAGAAAATGTTAAAAAATTTAACTCTGTGCCTATATTGACTATATATAAAGTAATTCTCTTGAATAGGAATCAAATAAACACAAAGAAAGTATTTTATAATTACTTTATTATGAAATATTAAGTAAACAAAATAGTGAAAAATTATAAAATTCTTGTCTTGTCTGCACCTACGGCACACCAGGCAACATCTCGTGCCGCGGAACAGCGGTTGAAAAACGCTGCGCTAGCATATGTACTTAATCCTTTAACACATTTTAAGCCATGGTTTAAAGGAAGAAACAAACCACTGAGTTTTGCGAAAATAATTCTTTTACATTTTATGTTCACAACTTATTTCAGTAAAAGAGGATAATGCCATCTAATAGATACAATATTTTATATACATATATAGTTTATAATATATATATATATATATATATATATATGTTACAATGATGCAGCCAAAGTAATCTTTAAGTATGACACTATATCCCTCCATCCATACCAACCCACATATACCTAATTTTCCAATGTCTTCCCATTGCTCTTAGCATAAAAAGCCAAATTCTGTAATTGGACTGTGAGACCAAATATTAATTGAACTCTATTTAATAAGCCAGTCTCATTTTACACTACTGCCCTCTAGTCACACTGCTCTATCACTTCCTTAAATGTGTCATGCTCTCTCCTGACACAGGACCTTTGCATATGCTCCCTCTCACCTACAATGCTTTCTCCATTTGCTTTTACTAAGAACACTCAGATTTCAGTTTAAATACCACTTTCCTAAAGAAGTAGTTCCTGACATCCCAGATTAGAATATGTACTTTGGTTACATCCTACTCAGTATACATGAAGTTTTATACTTATTTGTGTATATTAGAATACTTTACTTGCAACTTACATTATTGCTGCAAATAATACTAATAAGAATAATTATAATAATAGAGCAGTTAATGCCTATATAACCTTACTGTGTGTGAGAGACTGTTCTAAGCATTTTATATGTACTAATATTTAGAGTCAAATGACATTTAAACCTGACATATCTTTATGTGCCAGGTTCTATCATTTTCCCTATATTGCTAATGGGGAATGAAAGCACAGAAAAGGTGAAATAACTTGACCTAGTCACATAGCTATTAAGTGGAAATGAGATCTGAACCAAGTAATTTGGCTCCAGAACTTAGGTTCCTAATGACTGCAGGTTTATAGTAAAAACATCCTATATAATAAAAACCTAATATGCTAAATGTCCAGTTGTCCATTCAACCAATCAAAGCATAATATGCTAATGATATGCTAAGGCTGCTCAACCAGTTGATGTGCACTGACCACCAGGGAGCAGAGCTGTGACCAGTAGGTTAGCTTGCTGCTGGGGTCCGGCTGATCAGGACTGAGCGAGATGGGCCAGACATGCCCTGGAGCCCTCCCATTGTCCCTCCCTGGCTGGCCAACCTCCCATGTCCCTCCCAGACCTCGATCATGCATCAGCGGGATCCCTCGGCCAACTCTGCACCCTTTTACAATCTGGGACCCCTTGGGGGATGTTAGAGAGCTGGTTTTAACCTGATCCCGCTCAATGCAGGAGCTGCCCCCTAGTTGTCATTGTGCTCCCACAGGGGAGTGCAGCTCAGCCAGAAGCTGGGATCACAGCTGGCAAGCGCAGTGGTGTTGGCAAGAGCCTCTCCATGGAAAACAGGCCTAAGCCTGTAGTCCAACATCCCCTGAGGACTCCCAGACTGCAAGAGGGTGCAGGCTGAGTTGAGGGACACCACTCCCCCCTCCCCGAGTGCATGAATTTTCTGCACTGGGTCTCTAGTCTATAATAATAAAAGCATAATATGCTAATTAGACCAGACATACTTCCAGACCTAGCCAGGCTGCGAGGGAAGCCCGGGTCCCAAGTGCCTGCAAACAGATGGAGGGAAGCCCAAGTCGCAGGTGCCAGAGGGAAGCCGGTGCCAGCAGCAGGGGAAAGGAAGGCCTATTTTTGCATGAATTTCATGCATCGGGCCTCTAGTTTTTAATATTAAGACTGAAAATTAAACATAAGTTCCTATTTAAAATTAATTAATAAATCCTCCTAATAATATTCATGTGTCCTTCTGACACATACATGAAAATGCATCATGAGGAAATTACTACTCTAAAGTAATCAAAACATATAGATCAATGAAATAAAAAGCTCACAAATCTCTGACAGTTTAAGAGATAGAAGCAAACATTGTTTTTAGTCAGTTTAAAAAAGTTAGAAGTCACATGTGACTTGAAACATGAAATTAATGAAAATGTCCTAAATCAAGAAATTTTATAAAATTTATTAAATCAATAAAGAATCTAGAAGTAGTTTAATGGGTTATCAAATATCATAACTCATTTTGCTAAAAATTACAGATTCTATACTATTGTACATATGTGAGAGGAAGTGTTTTAAAATCTGATTTATATCTTGATATTTAAATATTTTTCATTAACTCCAAGCCTATGGATAAAAGGGGTGCTACTTACCTTTGCTGTAGTAGACATTGCACCAGCCATTTTCATCTGGGAGTTCATCACTTTTGTTTGTGTGGACATAGAAGTGACTTTTGAACTCACAGCAAAAGTTCTTGTTTTCTGTTTCCGTAATTGTACAAGCTGTTTGGCTAAAACTCTGCAAGCTTCTTTATTACCAATTTTGGCCATCTTCTTAATTTCTAATTCCTAAGAGAGAAAATAAAAAAAGGGGAATAAAATCTTCGAGGGGTAGGCCTCAAGAGTTATTTCAAAAGAACAGATCAAATATATATGGGTAGACAAAACTAGGTTTACAGTTGTTCATATGGAAAATACAATAATTAATAAAGAATACAACAAGCATAAATTATTTCACGTACTCACAAATGTAAACCTATTTTTGTCCACCCCTGTAAAATACACCCTTTCTCCCTGATGATGAATTGAGGCAGAAGCTGTCATAAAGTCATAGAAAGAAAAGAGTAATTTGAGAGGGCAATTTAGTCCACGTTTCCATAGGAAAGAACCAGTACCTTCATCTACAAATACAAAGCTGGTCTATAAAACAGTATGCACATAGAGCCCAGGAGAAAATTTAAAAACTAAACCCAAAAGTAGAAAGAAAAGAAGAAAATAAATAAACAAATAAATAAGTAAATAAGTAAGTAAGTAAATAAATAAATAAATAAATAAAGGGTTTGGTGGAACATAGCAAAAAAGAGCACAGTGATTTAAAGCTAATAATGTAAACATATTAAGTGAAAAGGCCCATCTAATAAATAAAAGGCAGGTTTTCAGATTGGATAAGACTCAAATATATGCTAGCTTGAGAAACAAATTTTAGTTAAAAGAGCAACCACACACAAAGCTAAGTAAAATAATAGAAAATACATATTATATATAAATACTTATTACAATCTGGAAATCTGGATTGGCTACATTAATATTACATAAAACAAACAGAACTTGAGAAAAAGGAATATTACTAAAAATAAAGAGGCATTTGAAAATGATAAAAGGAATCAATACATAAAGATGCAAAACATATAAAAGTCTATGTACCTAATAACAATGCTTAAAAATATATGAAGCACAACTGATAGAAGTGAAATGAGAAGCAACAAATACACAATTAGCTTGAGGAATATCAACAAGTATATTGCTTTAATTTTAATCACTAATAGACAAAAAATCTGTAACAATACAGAAGGGTTTATAAAAAACACTATTACTAACTTGACCTAACCAACACTTACAGAAAACTTCAAAACAACAGCAGAATACTCATTTACAAAGTGTACACTAAAAAAAAGAATCAACAAAATACAGCATATTCTACATCAGAAAGCAAGGCTCAATAAATTCAAGAGGATTGAATTGATAGGAAGTATGCTCTCTAACCACAATAAAAATTAAACTAAAGATCAGTAAGGAAAATATGAAAGAAAAGTCACAAATGAGCAGAAATTAATGATTCTAAATAAGTCATAGATTAAAACAAGTAATGGAGGAAATGAAGTAATATTTTGAACTTAATAAAATAAAAACAGCACATATCAAAATGTGTGTGTTGTAGTTAAAAAGATTCTTAGAAATTTATAGCATTAAAGTTTATATTAAAAAAGGTGAAGGGATTAAGAAGTATTAATTGGGAATTACAAAATAGTCATGGTGATATGGAGTACAGCATAAGAAATATAATTAATAATATTGTAATAACTGTGTATGGTGCCAGATGGGTACTAGAATTATCATTTTGTAAGTTACATAAATGTCTAACCACTATTTTGTGCATGTGAAACTAATATAATATTGAATGTCAACTGTAATTGAAAAATAAAAATAGGTATTAAAAATGAATTAAACAAAATAGTAAAGGCAAAACTATTATGTTCAAAATGTCTAAAGCATTAACAGAAAAAAAATATAAAGTAAACACAAAGTAAACAAAAGAAAGGAAATAATATAAACAAATCTATAAACTGGAGAAGGAAAAAAATGCAGAAAGTTAATGAAATCAAAACCAGGTATTTTTTTGGCACGTGTGTGTGTTTTGCAAAAAATTAATCAAATTGATATACTATTAGCCAGACAGCTGAGGAAAACAACTGGAGAGAGAACAGCCCTAGCCGGTTTGGCTCAGTGCAGAGTGTTGTCCTATGGACATAAGGGTCCTGGGATTGATTCTTGTCAAGGGCACGTACCTCATTTGCAGTCCTCTCCCTGGCCTGGGCCTGGTTAGGGCATGCACTGAAGGCAACCAATTGATGGGTTTCTCTCACATCCATGTTTCTTTCTGTCTTTCCCTCTCTTTTTTATTCTCTCTAAAAATTAATGGAAAATATCTTTGAGTGAGGATTAAAAAAAAAGACAGAGAGAACACCTGAGTTATAAGTAATGGGAACATAAACAGGGGCATCACTTTATATCCTAATGATGTTAAAAAACAATACGAGAATATTATGAACAATAGTATGTGATCACATTTTAAAAGTTGGTAGAAATGGACAGATGAGAGACACAAACTACCAAAGCTCAGTCAAAAAGACAGATAACCTGATCTATATCTATTTTTTAAAAGAACTTGTAGTTTAAAACCTATCCATAAGAAAATGTCACTCCCAATGGGTTTGCTGATTAATCTTATCAAATTCTTCCAATAAAAGAGAAAGTAAGGGGATACCTGCCAAATCACGCTTTACCATCAGCCTTACTCTGATGTCAAAATTAAATAAAGATACTTCTCAGAGGGAAGGCTGGGGTGGGTGGATGGGTGGGTGGAAAGATATCAACCAAAAACTTATATGCATATTAATGTCTTGGTGCATGGATTCATGCACAATGAAAGGAAATTAATTAAAAGAAATATTTTAACATCTCTATTTACCCTATTTCTATAATAAAAGTGTTAACCAATTTCATGATCGACAATGACAGATTGAAACACAAGTGTGAGATTGGTGCTGAGAGCTTTATAATATTATGCATGTGTGAGTCAACTTAGCCTTTTATATATAAAGAATAAACTTGCTTAATTAGACCTATTTTCTGATTTAGCTAAACTTTATGCAGCCCAGTGAAGCACCCCAACTTCTCTTTCAAATAACTGTCAGGAACACAGCAGTAAGTATTAACATGAAGCAAATTATTATTGTAGATCACACAGGGAGAACAAAGGGTAAAATATTTAACTGTAGCAGTGTTAGAATATATTCTGCTCAGTGAGAAAACATGAACTCATTTTCAAGGTCCACCATTTCTTACTTCTTTTCAATCAGGTCAAGTTTCTAAACTTTCTAAATTCCTGTTTTCTGGCTAATAAAAAGAAAATAGAATTCTACCAAATCTATCTATCTACTCCAGGACTTCTATAAGAATCAAATGAGATGAGGCATGTGAAAATGCTTCACAGATAATTGGTTAAACTATAAAATGTTTGCACCTGGCTATAAAGCAAGTTTAGTTCCTTGGTTGAAGGAACTCCAAGGAGGCTAGTGGTTTGGGGGAGGAAGTTGGGCACTGCTACATGATGTCATTACCTAAAGCCCATAGCAACCGTTTCCGGACTGGGCTGGGCTGTGGACCGCATGTTGTGCCATGGGGTTGTGGCAGGACTGGCTGCGGTTTGGTGGGATGTCCCACTTGGGGGTCCTGGCCTGCAAGGAAGGGCAATTAGGGTGACCAGGCTGGCAGGAGAGGGCAGTTAGGGGCAACAGGCCAGGAGGGGAGGGGAGGTAGGGGTGACTAGGCTGGCAAGGGTGGGAAGTTAGGGATGACCAGGCAGGCAGGGGAGGGGTGACCAGGGCAGCAGGGGAGGGCAGTTGTGGGGACCTGGCCTGCAGGGAAGAGCAATTAGGGGTAAACAGGCATGCAGGAGAGGGCAGGTAGGGGCAACGGGCCAAAAGAGGAGGGCAGGTAGGGGTGACCAGGCTGGCAAGGGTGGGAAGTTAGGGATGATTGGGCAAGCAGGGGAGGGAAGTTGGGGATGACCAGGATGGCAGGGGTTAGGGGCAATGGGCCAGGAAGGGAGGGCAATTAGGGGCAACCAGGATGGCAAGGAAAGGCAGTTGGGGTGACCAGGGTAGCAAGGGAGGGCAGTTAGGGGCAATCGGGCTGGCAGGGGAGCAGATAGGTGGCAATCAGGCTGGCAGGGGAGTGGTTAGGGGGTGATCAGGCTGGCAAGCAGAAGCAGTTAGGGGCAATTAGGTAGGCAGGCAGGTGAGTGGTTTGGAGCTAGCAGTCCTGGATTGTGAGAGGGATGTCCACTGGGGTCTGTCCCAAACGGAGTTAGACATCCCTCAGAGGGTCCCAGAATGGAGAGGGTTCAGGCTGAGCTGAGGGACATACCCCCCGTGCAAGAATTTTGTGCACAGCCTCTAGTTATATATATAACTTTAAATATAACTTTAAAACTTACTATAAAGATACACTAATAAAAGGTAATATTGGCTTAAGAATAGTCACAGATCAATGGAATAGCATAGAATCCAGAATGAGGCCCACATAATATTAGGACAATTGATTTTCTACAAAGATAATAAGGTATTTGAACAGAAAAAGATGTCATCCACAAATGATATTAGAACAAATGAATTTCCATAGCAAGAGTGAACCTCTGCCTTACCTGACAACATAGTCATTTAATTCTATATAGTTCACAGTTCTAAATATAAGAACTAAAACTTTAATACTTCCAGAGGAAAATATAAGATAAAGTATTAGTGACTTTGGGTTATGCAAAGTTACTAATACTACTAATAACAGAAAAATGATAAATAATACTTATAGAAATAAAATCATCAGCTTTTCAAAAAATACTATTAAGAAAATATAAGATCAGGCCAAGAACTAGGGAGAATATTTGCAAACATATAGTTAATACAGTATTTGTGAACAAAATATATAAAGAATTCTTACAACTAACTAATTAGAAAACAGCTTTAAAAAAATGGGTAGAGTATTTCAGTAGACCCTTTGGCAAAAACGTTATATAAAAAGCAGACAGGCACATGAAAAGATGCTGAACATCATTAGCGATTAGGAAAATCCAATTTAAAATGACAATCTGCTACACAACGCTAGAATGGCTACAGGGGAAAAGACTGTTAACTTCAACTCTTGGCCAGGATGTGAAACAGCTTTACTTGCATATATAGCTGGTGGGAACAGAAAACATTACAGCCATTTTGTAGAACTGTTGAGCATTCTTATACAGTTAAATATACATTTAATCTATGACCCAGCAATCCCACTTCTAGGAATATTCCCAAGAGAAATGAAAACATATGTTCACACAAAGATTTCAATTGGATGTTTATAGCAACTTTATTCAAAACAGCCAAAATCTAGAATTAACTCAAATGTCCACTGGCTGGTGAATAGATAAACAAATTGTGGAACATCCACACAATAGAATAACATTCATCAATAAAAAGGAATTAATCCTGATACATGCAACAAAATTTATTAATCTCAAAAGTTCTGAGTGAAAGAAGCCATATGAAGTAAGAAATTCATATTCTATGATTCCATTTATATAAAATTCTAGAAAATGTAAACTTATCTGCAGTGACAGATCAATGTTTACCTGACTGAGAAGAAGGTAGACAGGGAGGGATGGGTAGGAGGGATTACAAAGAGAATAAGGAAACTTTTAGGGATGAAGAATATGGTCGTTACCTAGATTGTAATTAACAGGTATGCTAAAATGTATCAATCTGTATTCTTTGAATATGTACAGTCTATTGCATGTCAATTATACTTCATGCTGTTTATTAAAATATTTTAAGCAACACATATTTAAAAACATAACAAAATAGTTAAAGATAGTCAATCTATTTTTTAAAATACAATCATTATTATAGACAAAATAATACTTAAAATATCAAATAAGTTCAAATATCAAGTAAGACACCTATGAGTTAATATTATTTTCTTGTAACCCTCTCTTTTTTTTGAAAACTATGTTATCTTTGTTATTAGCTGAGAATTTGGTCCTGTTTTGAGCAATATTTCTCCCTAGGCATTCATCACTTTTACAAACTGAAGAATACTTTGATTTTATAATAGCAGAATACACAGAATCCTGATACGTCAGCAGAATGACATAAAAACAAAAGCAAGCAGAAATTGCAGAAAAGTGCTCAATGCCATTTATTAGTAAAGCAAAAATCTTACCACCTACCATCTGTCTTTTTCCTAGTTAGCTAATTATTCCAACAATAATTTTCAAATTTGTTTGAAAAGTTAAACTGAAATTTAATGTTCTACTTACCAGCTGTTTTTCTTGTCTCTCTAAAGCTGCTCGATCTCTGCTTATAGCTCTCTGTGTACCTCGTAACTCTCGATTCTGTTCCTTTATTACGTCTGAGAGAACCACATACAAAAAAACAAAACAAAAAACACTAAATGTATGCTCTGTAAATTTTCCTTAATACCATTTAAAAAATGGGGCTCAGAGATCTCAGTGCAAAATACACATTGATTTATTTAATGTTAAAATTTTTTTTTCAGTTCAGTGCATTAAAAAAAATTTGACAAATATTCAAACTTGATTTATAAATATTGATTATATTCAGGATTATAAAAATGAGTGCAGAGTGCTTTCGTCTGAGGTTCAGCCAAAAGTACACATAAATCACAGTAAAATATTCCCGTAGAGAACTGATTAGTATACAATGTTTTATATGGCACATGTATGTTACACACACATCCATTTCATCTCTCCTTCTTCCAGTATTATATGAAATTCCAGAAAGAAATAAGGTTATGTTTACTAAAGCTTTTTTCTGCACTAAGTCACCATAACAGAGTGAAGCAGCAGATGCTCCAATGAATCCCATCTCTGCCACTTGATCATTACTTGTTGGCAAAGTTAGTTAACATTCTAAATCTCAGGTTTCTGATAAAAGAGTAAAATAACATACACAATGCCCCGAAATTTATCTTACTAGCAATTCATCTGGATCCATTAGTCTTACCCTTTGAAGAATTTATAAAAGGTAATAAAGACTAAGTACTTATCTACATCTGATGGATGATAATTAGGGTTAATTATTATCAGAGGCCCGGTGCACCACATTTGTGCATAGGGGAGGGGGGCCCTTGGCCCGGCCTGCACCATCTCACAGTCCAGGAACCCTTGGGGGATGTCGGACATCTCCCGAGGGGTCCTTAGCACTGTCATGGAGACGGAAGAAGGCCCTGCCACCGCTGCTGTGCTCACCAGCTGTGAGCCACTGGCAAGCCTGACTTTTGGCTCAGTGGCACTCCTCCTGCATTGAGCGTCTGCCTTGGTGGTCAGTGCACGTCATAGCAACCAGTCATTCTGTGTTTGGTCGATTTGCATATTAGCCTTTTATTAAATAGGATAGTTATTAGTTCAATGGATAGTAATTCTTACCAAAACTGATCTATCATTGTCAGGAATCTTTTAACTGTTTTACATATATTATACAATATCATGTTCATAGTAATGCTAGAGAGTTGATTTTCTATTATCTTGTATATAATAAGGTTGACTATTAGGAAATTTAAAAAACTTGTCTAAGGTCACAGAGAATAAGCAGTAATGCCAGATTTGGACCTAAGTGTTCTTTCTCCAGAATCAGTGATCTTAATCACTTCACTAGAGAAAATTTTTATTGAAGAGATAAGATTTTAAAACAACAGAAAGAATAGTTTTATCAGTAAACAGTGATGGGAAACTGAATGAAAAAGAATGAAACTGGACTCCTGTGACACACCACATATAGAAATTAACTAAAAAAAAAATTAATGATCCAAATTTAAGAGTTAAGATCATAAGACTCTTAGACAAATACACAGGAGTAAATCTGCATTCAGAGATCATAATAATCTGGCCAGTGTATATATGATAAGAGTATATTTTCCAGAATATATAAAGAACTCTTCCAACTCAAAAACAAACAACCCCCTTAAAACGGGGTGAAGGATTTAAATAGACATCTCTGAAAAAGGTAGTCAATACAATTAGCTATTAGGAAAATGAGATATCAGTTCACACCCATAATAATGGCTATAATTAAAAACAAAAAGGGAAAACAAGTATTGGTGAGGATATAGAGATTGGTACACTTGCACATTGCTTCTAGAAATGTAAGTTATTTCAGCCCCTGTGGATAACAGTTTGTTGGTTCCTCAAAAAGCTAAAAAACATAAAATTACCATATGACCCAACAATTCCACTCATAGGAATTCAAACAGGTTCTTAAACAAATACTTCTACACAAACGTTCATAGCAGTACTATTCACAATAGCCAAAAGGTGGAAACCACCCATATATCCCTGAACAGATGAATGAATAAACAAACTGGGATATCTATACTAATAAAAGCCCAGGTAGTCATCGCGCCCTCACTCACTATATTGTCATAGGATGGCCACCACAAAGATGGCTGCCACAAATGGCCATGTGCACAGTGGAGGCGGGGCCCGGCGGCTGCTCCATGCAGTGAGGCCTGGGGGTGCCACGGCTCCACACAGCATGGAGGAAGCTGGTTCCAGCATCCCCACCACCTCACGTGGAGGAGGCCGGTCCCAGCGGAGGAGACGGGTCGCAGCAGGGGAGGGCAGTTGGGGGTGAATGGGCTGGCAAGGGAGCAGTTAGGCATCAATCAAGCTGGCTTGGAAGTGGTTAGGGGCAATCAGGCTGGCTTGAAAGTGGTTAGGGGCAATCAGGCAGGCAGGCAGGCAGGCGAGCAGTTAGGAGCCAGTGGTCCCGGATTGTGAGAGAGATGTCCAGCTGTCGGTTTAGGCCCGATCCCACAGGAGATCCATATGTATAACGTATACATACGTATAATGGAATATTATTTATATACTAGAGGCCCGGTGCACAAAATTCATGTACTAGGGAAGAAGGGGGCTGGCCTGCGCCCTCTCACAGTCTGGGAGCCCTCGGGGGATGTCGGGGAGCCTTCGCTCCTTATTGCCCACCTGCTCGCTGCTCCTTACCACTTAGCTTGCTGTTCCTTAGTGCTGCCACAGAGGTGGGAGAGGTTCCAGCCACGCAGCTGTGCTCGCCAGCCGTGAGCCCGGCTTCTGGCTGAGCAGCGCTCCCCCTGTGGGAGCGCACTGACCAACCACCAGCGGCAGCTTCTGTGTTTGTGTTCCACACCCTATACGACAGAAACTTTGCAGAGTGCCCTCTTGCACTCCGGGACCCCTTTGGGGGATGTCAGAGAGCCTGTTTCGGCCTGATCCCCCCAGGCAAGGGGACAAGGCACCCAGGGAGCCAGGGAGGGACTGCAGGAGGTTAGTTCCAGGGTGTGTGGCCCGTCTCTCCCAGTCCTGCCCTGCCAGCCACCATCTAATTAATTTTCTTTCAATGTGCACAAATCCATGCACCTGGTCAATTATAGAGTTTTAGTTATAAAAAGAAACAAAGTACTGATAGTTCCATAACATAGATAAATCTCAAAAGTGTTATGCTAAGTGAAAGAAGATAGATATAAATGGTCACATTTTATGATTATACCCATATGGACTATCCAGAATAGAGAAATTTGTGAATACAGAAAAACAGTTTGGTATTTGCCAGGGTGGAGGAGAGTGGGAGTGATGAGTCACTGCTTAATGAGTGCAGGGCTTCATTCTAAAGTGATGAAAATGTTTTGGAACTATAGATAATGGTCATACACCACTGTGAATGTATTAAATGCCACTGACCTGTTCACTTTAAAATGGTTAACATTATGTGAATTTCACCTCAACTAACATAGCAACAAAGCCAGCAACCACTATCCTTTGTAATGATGGAGCATCACAACTTATGTTCTACACATTTCTGTGTGCAGTGTAATTTTTCTCAGAATAAAAATAATACTGAGTAATAGACAGTATAGCAAATACTCCACAATAACCCTAAAATGTAGTTAGATACTATTTCACACTTATTTCAGAGGAGGATATATCTGGTGAGATAATCTGCCCAAGGGAGAAAAAGTGCTAGGATTCATATACAAATGGTCTGTCTGATAGCATGGCCTAGGATTTAACTACTGCATTATGCTCTTGCAATGCTTTTTGAGTAAACAAGAAATAAAGTTATCAGAAACATAATCCTTATAAATATAGATCCATGTCAATAAAAATATACAGTATTTCAAACTAAATGGAAAACATTAATCATTATATAAAATTTAACTAATCAATTACAATGACTTTCTAAGTAAAAGTTAAAATAAGATGCAGAGCTCCTATACCCTACATACAAGATATTCATTTCCCCTTCTTTGCTTACTCTGCTTTTCAGCTAAGTTATATCAGCAAACACCTCTTGCTCAGGGTTTATATTAAGAACACATTCTATATGTTCCTTATAGAAATATAAAGCCATACTATATCTTTAAGAAAGATGAAGAGGCATATGTCTCTCCCCCTAGCCTCTTCCTTTTGGATGGGAAATGCACAATTCATTCAACAAAAAGAGGGACATTCTGTAGACAAATATATTTGGGAAATATTGAAGTTGAAAAAACACACACAGATTTATTTAGTTCAAGCTTCTAATTATGTTTAACATATGAATATACACTGTAAATCCTTAAGGGAAGAATGTATTATAGATTATTTTCCAAATTTATTAAACCAAGGATTCCTTTTAAGAAATCCCTATTAACATTTCCTAGATACTAATGTTCTACAGAGCATTGGCTAAAATCCTATTCTAAAACAATATGATTTATTAGTTGGCTAGTGCTGCCATTAAAAACCCCACAGTATAGGTGGCTTAAACAACAGAAATTTATTTTATCAGTTCTGGAAGCTGGAAGGCCAAAATCAAGGTGTTGGCAGATATGATTTCCATCGAGGCCTCTCGTTTAAGCTTGTACTTAAGTGACTTCTTGCTGTATCCTCACATGGCCTTTTTTCCGTGTGCCCATCCCTGGTATCTGTCTCTTGTAAGGACACCTGCTCTACTGGATTAGGGTTTAGCATCATTACCTCATGGAATCTCAATTACCTCTTTGAAAAGATCCTATCTCCAAATATAGTCACAAAGGGGTTGGGGTCTAACATATGAACTTTGGGGGGACACAATTCAGTCTACAACACATAATATTTTTCTTCTGATATCTATATACTAACTAAACAAAACAGCAAAGAAAGCTCTCATTTCTTTTTCTTTAAAAAAAATCATAAGCCTTTTTCATCCTTAATACTTAAACACTCACAGTTTTATTTGTTTTTTTCTTATTGGTATGAAAACATTTACCCTACTGTTTCAATAAAAAAATATACTCTAAATTTAAAACTGTGAAATTACAAATGATCTTTTGAAATATAACCGCTTTGTGAACTAAAAACCCCTACTTTTTAGTATAAGACAAAGTATTGAGAT